ACTTCTTCCTTCCCTGTGTGACAAGTGGCATGAGGGACTCTGCTCACTGTGCTGTGGAGCCCAGAAAAATACCTGTGCAGCCTCCATGTCTCACTGCCTAAAGTTGTGCCTGCTGGTAACATGGACAGCAGGAGCTACTGTATCCCTAGCACCTGAGATGTCAGCATCAGGAACAGCAGAGAGTGAGTCTGGGCCACCAGGGAAGGAGGTAAAAAAGAGCAGATATTCTGAGAGATTCTGAGAGGGCGTTACAGCCCGGCACGCCTGGGCTGTCTGTCCTACCAGCTGCGAATGCCAGCTGCCCGTCCCCAGCCAGGTGAGGGCCCAAGTTCCTCTGGTACAGGAGATGGATTTAAGGTCAGCATCTCATTCCAGAGAGGGGACGTGGAGCAGGTTCTTTCCCCTGTGAGTGAAGGCACACACTCACGGACAGTGGATAAAGCTTTAACGCCCCCTTTGCTCCCCAGCAGCTCTGGGGGGAAGTGGTGGAGAGGAGCCTTAGCCAAAGAGGGGAGCAGGTGCAGATTCGTGCTCCAGCTGTGATCTCAGGGGCAAGGCAGGGGCTCCCTGCAGCCTGCAGTTCCTCAAGGAAGCCAAGGTCTGTCTTGTCAGTCTGGCTCAAGGGGAGAGAGCAGCCCCCAGCAGGCAGAGCTGTGTCCCCAAGGCCGTGTCTCCGAGGCACGTGTTGCTGTCTTAAGCTGTCCCAGGAGTTGGTCATAGAGCAATCCTTAAGAGCATCTGGGGGTCCTCTTCACTGTCAGCAGAGTGGACTGTCTGGCCGGGCTGGGTTGAGCACATCGAGGTTGGCCAGCTGGTTAGCTTCCGTGCCCCAGACCATCAGGAGGCCACGTATTCATGGCGGGGCCTCGAGCACAGAAACTCGGTCCCTCCTCTCGGTCCCACCGAGAGCTAATTCCACATATTTCGAGGGAAACATGGTGCCTAAATTCACACTGTGGTATTAAAAGTCAAGGCCTGCTGTCTGGAACTACTTGAGGAGATCATCTGGTGACCAAAGAAATGAAGTGTCACTTCAAAGTACTGCTGGCCTGAGAGGGTCCCAGGCCCCAGGGGAATTTGTAGCAGAGACCTCCACCAAGACCTGTTCTCCTGGCCGCTTTCAGCCCTGCCAATATCTAAGGGCCTATAGGGCATTTTTTGTTTGATTAGAAATTAGGGAGATGTCTTTAACACAGAGGATGGTCCCCAGCCTTCTCCCCACCCTGACCCTCTGCTTCACCCCAGAGGGACAGCTCCTGCTACAAAGAGCCACAGTGCTAACCACAGTTCTCCTGGCTCTCCTCAGCCTTCTCGCAGTGGGGGTGACACTCCTGTCCGGAGCCCACCTGGCCCCAAGGATACAGCCCTCCCTTCCCTGGCCCACCTCACAGGCCTCCTGGGACCAGAAGGGATTTGCTTCCTGGAATGAGATCTGAAACCATGGAATTTTGCCTTCCAGCTGCAGGGGATGGATTGCAGCAGGCTGTGGTTGTGCGGAGCCCAGAGGGCTCTCAGTGTCGGGGGACACTATCTTCCACGATGTATTAGACCTCGCACCCAGGCTAGGAAGAGCCTTCCTCATTGGTCTCCCTTGGAAGCCGACTTCTCTGAACCCGAGGGAAAGGATCAATACCTTCCAATTCCACTGATGCAAGTTGCAAACGTCCCCTGGACAGTTGTTCCTCTCACCCTCCTGGCAAGTTTGGGTTTCAGTTCCCAGCTTAAACTGGCCAACAGCTTCTTATTCCCGTACTGGCAGAGGCGTTACTCTCTGGAGTCACTTGAAAGGGGGTTTGGTTGGAAACGCTTAATCTCTTCATGTTGAGCCAGAGACTGAGCTTAAACCCATGGTCGTCAAACCAAACGCACTACTACCCACTCATTAACTCCTATTAGGGCTTTGACCGTGGGCAGCGTCCCCAGAGCCCTCCCGCCAACCCACCCCAGAGAATGAGAGTGGTGTGACTCCCTGCACATAGCTGGATCATGTCTAGACCCTGGGCAGCCCCTCCCATCAGCTGAGAAGGAAGCAGAGTATGGTCCTCCGTGGGAAGGCCCGGGAGGGCTGGAGGTCTGAGCCCAAATTCTGCTTTGCCTCTGACTCTGTCCTCCAGGGTCTTTCCCTGGTGACCCCGCCCTGTAATGATTTCCTTCTCTGAATCAGGCTCATTGCCCTGAACGGCTTCATCTTTCATTTCAGTTCTTCCTGCCTCCGCTGGAGGGATGCACCTTGCCCTGCTCACCCTGGGGGCAGAGGGGCTCCTGGGAGACAGGGAGTGCATGAGAAGGGCACAGGTGGCCCAGACACCCCACCACCTTCAACCAAACTCACTCCAGACCCACCCACCCCACCTGTGTTCACATCCCCTTACTGGCTGGGTGACCTCGGACAAATGACTGAACCTTTCTGGACTTGTTTCCTCATCTGTGAGATGAGCATTATAATAGTATTTACCTTGTGGAGCCATGATGAAGATTAGATGAAATGATGCATATAAAATATTTCTCACAATGCCTGGCCATAGTTGGCCTTCAGCAGAGGCAAATTAGTGCTACCCATTGGTTTTAAATAGTCTATAGATAAATTCCATTTGGAGGAGGAAAAAAGTTTGCTGGTTACAAAAAAAAGGGGCAGGGGGTTTTGAGAGCCACCGAGTTTCAGTGGGCCCCTTTCATACATCACCACATCTAGCCTCGAGAGGCCAGAGAACTTCCCATTAGGATGTTACCTGATTTCTGTACTTCCTGTCTTACTGGAGAAAAAGTGCTTGGGAGTCAGGCCACATGGGCTTCACCTTTAACACCCCCTCAATGTGCCTAGCATCAGGTTCGGCCCACTTTGGGTGGGTGGGGGGGCCTCCCTGGGTGGAGTCTGATGACAAAACAGTCGTGCAACTGAATGCATACAGGTGAGCAACCCAGGTGCCTCTTCTGAGGTCCAAGAAGTGGGGGTTTCTCCCCACAACCTCCCCACCCAGCATCTCTGTTTGGTCTTTGCTGACTCCTCCCAGATTCAAGTCACATCCTGGCTCAACACATTGTCTCATGTCACCCCTTAACATACGTACAGTGGGCAGCAGTTCTGGGCCAGGCACTGGGCCCTTCAAACCAAGGTAGCGTGGCCGTCCGCTCTCGTGAAGCAAATTTGCCCACGGCTAGGTTTGTTCTAGTATTAGGTTGCTCTAAAGTAGTCCAGAGTCACTGATCTCCAAGAGATTCAGCTGTCAGAATTCCTAAGAAAGTCCCCCAAGTCTTAGAAGCAAAGACCCCAACCATCAGTTCTGGGAGGATCTGCAGGGCATCTCTGCAGCAGCTTCTTTGTGTAACAGAGGAGGAGATGGAGGCACCCAATGGCCCCAGAGGGTGGATCAGTGCTCGGCGGCTCCAGTTTCTTGTTCTGGGGCTTCTTCTGCAACGTCAAGTTATCTCTACAAAAGGAGGATCAGTTGCTCAGAAGTCGGTGCTCCACAGGTTGCTCTTCTGCAGTCTCTCTCATCAAGGTTTTTAGTCTGTGGAGGGAGGAACGGAGGGTGGAAGGGAGCCACCACCACCTAGGGTTGGTGATGGTCAACAAGCCTGTTGTGTGGCATAATTGGGTGAGCCAGTGGCATTTACCTTCACCCTGGCTGCCCCTGAGGCCCAATCCAGGGGGGACAGAGCCTAAGAGAGAAGAAAGACGGAAGGAACTCAGGAACGCTCAGGCTTTCAGAACCATGATGAATAGAAAGTGAGCCACCGATTTCATTCACTGGGGTCCTGCTGCTGCAGGTGCCCCTGCCACCACCACAGATGACGAGCCTAAGAGAGAAGAAAGACGGAAGGAACTCAGGAACGCTCAGGCTTTCAGAACCATGATGAATAGAAAGTGAGCCACCGATTTCATTCACTGGGGTCCTGCTGCTGCAGGTGCCCCTGCCACCACCACAGATGACGCCCAGTGGGCTTAGCAGGGAAATCCGCTCCATAGTCCCATCTCAGTAGCTGAAAGGAAAAAAGCAAGCCTTTCAGATTTCAGCATCTTTGGAGGAGAAAGATACATCTACATCCCATCTCTCTGAGCCCACTGCTGGCAATGTACTCAGCCCTGTAATTTATTAAAAACCCACCTGGTGGCCCAGCTGGTGGTGGAGGGTGAATGGTCGGAGGAAGGGGGCAGGTGAGCTGGCTTCTGGAGGTCCCAGCGCCTTCCTAGAGGTGGCCTTCCGAGAGGTGCTGCTCCCGGGCAGGAAACTCTCTGAACCGTCCTTTCAAGCTTGAAACACCCACGCCGCAGCTTCGCAATAAAGAAGGAAATGACAGTAATGATGTTCACTGCACGCTTCTACCAAGTGCCACGGTCTGGGCCACATGCCTGACCCAAAGGTTTCACTGATTCACTCTGGGAGAGACTGTTATTCCTGAATATCTTCCTGGTAACAGGGGGCTGAGTCCAGACCAAGGTGCCACAGCTGCAAGTAGCAGATCTGGGCCTCGATCCCATCTGTCAGTGAAAGCTGTGCCCACTGAGCACCCCTCCCTTGCTGCTGAGCTGTCCTTTTGTTGGCCCTTCTCCCCCTTCCAGACCCTTTCGTGCAAGACCTGGAAGCTAGGCAGGTGTTCTCCTTGCCCTCTGAGCAGACAGGCCGAGCATGGGAAGGGGCATCTGCAGGCTCCCGGGGGGGGGGGGGGGCTGGCTGACCAACCAGTCCACATTGTGCAGCTCCATGCACTCATCTTGTTTGGGCCTGACCACAAGCCCAGGACACAGTGACATGGTTCTCAGTGCTGCAGATGAGGGCAGCAAGGCTTAGAAGAACCAAGTAACCTCCATGAGGTCGCACAGACTGGATACGGCCAAGCCAGAAACGCAGCCCTAAGTCTGGGCTTGTTTGCTGCCTTCTGGCCCAGCCACTTCTGCGCACCTCTGAACACGGCCTGGGGCCCAGGGCCTGGAGGGGGCAGGAGGGAGAGGTGGTGCCCCGCATTGGCCCCCCACTGACAGTCCTCTTCTATTCTTCCAGTCCCCCGTTTTCGTTGCCCAGGTTGGCCAGGACCTGGTCTCCCAGACGGAGAAGAAGCTCCTGCAGAGGCCCTCCAAGGAACTCTTCTCTGCCTGTGCGCAGTAAGTGCTCCTCCCTGTCCAGGCCCGGCCTCAGGCCCTTCCCCTCCGCAGCCACAGAGGCTCCGGAGAGAGCCTGCCCCTGCCCTCCACCTGGAGCGCCGGGCACCGGGGCAGGTCTTCCGTGCCCGGGGGCCCCAGCCAAGCCACCCAGCTGTTTGTATACTTCTTAGGAAGGGAAAAGATACCAAAGTGCCAAGTCCAAAGAAAACATCTGCCTCAAAGGGTGTTGAAAGCAAGTGGCTCTCCAGGCTGTTGAGACAGAGGAATGTGCAAAAACTTGACCCTGTCTGGGTGGTTTGGGAGCCCTTCCCAGGCCCCCAGCCCCCACTGCTGCCACCGGCCAGAGACGAGTAGCACTGCTGCAGGAAGGGGGCTACGGGGCTGCCTCTCAGCCACATCCCATTGCCTTGTCCACAGGCCGTACAGTGATCCTAATGGAATATGAGACCAGTTGGTGGATGTGCTGCTGGCTGGACACCAGTTAAGCCCCCACCTGTCCCTCGAACATATACTGTGAAGGCGTGAGCCACTAGGCACACACACGTGCATGTGCCCACACAGGTACCATTCCCCGTAAGCTGATGCATGCACACAAAAACCTTTTAGAACCTGATTGCCCCACACGGCTGGATGAGTCTGGGGCTTGCTGTGTGCCCTCGTTCAGCCTCTGCACCACAGACAGCTGGGCACCTGCTGTGTGCCTGGCACAGTGGTAGGTGCTGGAGGGTACCACAGTGAGCAAGAACACAGTCTCCGCTTTCACAGAGCTTAACAGCCAGGCGGGGAAGACGTGAAAACCAGTGCCCCTGTGCCCTGTGGGAAGAGCTGGGAGCCCCATGACGAGAACAGATGTTTAGAGCGGACCAGCTTGGGGCCAAGCCCTGCTAGGTGCCAGGGAGAGACACGCCCCCCCCACCCCCCCCCCGCCCAAAGCAGAAACAAACCTGGTTGCTGTCCTCTTAGAGCTGGCCGAGGTTCAGATCTGACAGCAGGTTAGGCCCCTGGGCTATCACTGACTCTGAGGGAGTAGACATCCTGGCACTGGCCCCAGCTCTCATGTTTGGCAGGACACAGCGTCCAACGTGCCTCCACTATACATGCCACTCCCTCTCCCCACCCCCCATCCACAGGTCCCAAGTGCCTGGGCCAGATTGGTCAGCATCGCCACTTTTTAAAGGGAAGGAACCCATCCCTGCCTATAGCCAGGTCCAGAACCCCACGGGCCTGGCCCACAGCAGGTGACCCATGAATTCTGCTGTGGGGATAGGAATCTCCTAGTGGCTTCACTGGTCCTGGACCCAATCCAGAGCCTGTTGCTCAGAGGCTATTTCCCTGCTCTGCCCACCCCCCACACACATACCCCTGCACTCAGTTAAGTATTCTTCTGTCTTCACTGCATCTCAAGAGTCCTTTCTTGAGAGAGGGAGACACCTAAGTCCCCCCAGAGACCTCATTTAACCCTCACTCATGATAACATGGTTCTGCAGGCATTTATCCGATGTTTGTTACTTACCGGTTGTCCCATTTCACACCACCAACCTCATGCTCACAGCTCTACCCCAGGCCTAGAGCCATGGCAGGTACCCAGTAAGCATTCACACAATCAGCCTGTCACTTTGGAAGGATGACGGGTTTCTGAGGCCGGTGGTAAACCTGCTGGACATATACATATGGCTCTGCTCTTAAGATCAGGATTATAAAATGTTTGTTTGTTCCTTCTGAGCCAGGTCTGTCCACGACTACCTGAAGGGAGAGCCCTTCCATGAGTATCTGGACAGTATGTATTTTGATCGCTTTCTCCAGTGGAAGTGGTTGGAAAGGTGAGTGCTCCCCTGGCACAGCCCACCTACAGGTGTGTACCAATGTGTGTATGTGGCAGGGGGAGGGGGTACAGGTTTGCCACCTGAGAACTCATAAAAATCAGTTACCTCCATGGGTCCATGGTTCACATAAAATTAGCCACCCCGCTCCTATTGATTAAGTTCTTGGCTATTCTTCTAGAAATGCTCTGTGCTTATACATATATATGTGTATATGCAGGTTCACATACTCATAAATACGTATTACTTACTCTTGCTTTTTTTGGTTCACTGCTTTTGTGAACCAAATTCCCCCTCTGCCAGCAAATAAAGAACTGTCATATTCTTTGAATGAGTTGCAAATCCCTGATTTAGCTCAATCCCCTGTTGATGGACATGGAGGTTGCTCTCAATTTTGCGTACAATCTTCCTTAAATAACGAATAGCTTTGTACATATATCTTCACGTACTTTCGCAAGTACATCCATAGAAATCCCTAGCAGGGGAATTTCTGGATCAGAAAGCACCGGTTTTAAACAGTGAGGCACCACTAAGTTGCCCTCCCAAACAGCTGTCCCCCATTTCCACTCCTGGCAGTGCCCCAGTGTCTGCTTCCCCTCAGCCTCATCGACACTGTTCTTGTGTTTTCCTGTCCAGTGTGTGAGCAGCAGGGTTTCCTTCTTATTTATCTTTTCATCTCCAATACTGGGTAAAACTGAGCATCGCTTCATGCTTTGCTACCTTTTCTCTGCCAAGTGCTCTCAGACATGGCAGTGACTTGGCCTGACAGGTACAGCCTCCGTGTGACAGATGAGGAAGGAGAGCCATGGTGGCTTGCCTGGTCACACAGCAGGCCAGCAGTGTAGCCTAGGGGACCCCTGGTCCAGGACCCCCAGCACCAGGCTCTGCTCGCCACACCGTTCCAGGATTTGCAGACAAGGGGAATGCCTGCATTAAATCCACGTTGGGCTCAGCTGCTAAACAAGGGCAGGAGCATCCTCTTCCCTGTGTCTGAGGCCTGGCACTCTCAGGCATCTGGGCGCCCTCTGGGCAAAGCAAGGAGCCATCTTGCTTCTCCCTGTCACCACTTTTGCTGGCCTGGTGCCCTGCAGATGCTTAGGAAGCTACAGGACGGGGACGCCCTAAAAGCCCCATCCATGACCCTTCCCTGGCCATGTCAGGAGGCCTAGAGGAGAACACCCTGCTCTGTACCACTAGGGAGACATTTCTCTCCACTCCCACTGGTGGGAATGATAGTTGAGCAGGAGACAGTCTTCTCTGTGGTCACTGGCCGCCACTAGCCACCTCACTCGTGTACGTCATGGCTCTGGGAGAGCCAGAGAAGTGAGGGGTCAGTGCAGACATCCCACTCAGGGCCCTGGAGCCCGTCCACAGCCTGGGTCTGAGTCCCACCTCTGCCTTCTCCAGAGGGACCTCGGGAAGGGCTGCTCACCCCTCCTTACCTCAGTTAACTTATCTGCGAGATGGGAATAATAATAGTGCCTGCCTCTGTAGGGCTTGGGTGTGGACGAGGTGAGGTAAGTGTAGTACATGCGTATAATAAGGCAAGTGCTCAAGAAAGGTCAGCCATCTGGCCCCAGGAAGTCCAGTGCTGGATCCAGTTGTGGCTGTCAGTGAGATCATCGGCGTCACCGTGGCCGTCGCCCTTAAGCGTCTGGTATGGGAAGGAACGGCTGGCCCCCATGTTTCTGGTGATCACAGAACAGTCTGGTGGGGACATATTCATCACCACCCTCCCGCACCGCCCCAGAGCCCTGGGCTGTGTGCCACACAACCTGATCCATGCCCACCTTCCTGGGGTTGAGACCCTCGATGTGAGCTCCGCAGCGGGCAGCCTGGGATTGCCAGCTCCAGGGCCATCACTTACCATCATGACCTTGGGCAACTCATTTCCCCCCTCTGAGCCTAAGCATGCTCACCTGCACAATGGGGACAGTCCCACCAACCAAGGCTTACCGTGTGAGGATTACCTTAGTGCATGGGCCAGGTGCTTCAGGCAATGGGGACTGTTAGCATAAAGACCCCCAGAGGGGATGTGTCCTTTGTTCTTAGAATTCTAATAGTGACATCTGACACACAGCAGCTTACAAAGAGCCTTGGGATGCAAATGCCTTTCAATATCCTTTCACGGAAGATATGTTTTATCGAAGGCTCAGAGAGGTTGATGGATTGGCCCTGGGCCACACAGCAAGGACCTGGCAAGGCTAGAACCCGAACCCAAGGTCCTTCGATCAAGTCCTTCACCCTTATTCCACCCAGCACTCTGTTCTCATAGAATCCTTAGCTGTGGCCACTGGTTTTGATCTTACTTGTCTGTACTGAACACTTGAAATGGAGAAACAGCCTTTTTAAATCCATGTGTTGACTGCGAAGAAGTTAGGCCCATTTGTGGGCATTAAGTGTGGAAGCCACTAGGGCAGGACCCTGGCCTAGAAATGCCCCTAAATAACTGACAGCACCCCGCTTCCTCCCTTTCCTTTCCTTTCCTTTCCTTTTTTTTTTTTTCCTTGCTAACAAGATCATGGCCTGTTCGTGCTGTACTGTTGAAATATTAAAGGGATTTTCTCCCTCCCAAGGTTAACCGAGAAATTCCTCGGAGACTGTATTACACTCATTTCCCCTAGCAGAGGAGCTCTGTGGTAATGCCGACCGGCTGTTTGTTCTCCATGTATCGTAAACTGTTAGGCCCGGGCGCCTTCATGTGGTTTCGAGGGCAGCTGTAGAAACGCTTCCCGGGCCGCACGGCGGAGGCAGCCGCACGGCAGGCTTCGCTGCAGCCCAGCCGCTCGTGTGCAGGACACGGGGCCGTGGAGAGTCCTGCGGAGGGTGGCCCTGTGCTCCCAGCGGGGAGATAATCAGGGAGTCGGGCCCCCCTCCTGAAGAAACAGAAGACAGAGTGAGTCCGGGCACGTGAACTCCAGAGATGGGCAAGCTGGAGAGAGCCCGGGCTGGGGGCGGGGGGTGTTCGGGGCTGTCCTGAGAGACGACCCAGCAGCAAGAAAGGTTGCGACAGAAGGTTCATTCAGGAGCTGCGGGGTGACCAGAGGCTCACTGGTCTTTCTCCAGCTGCCCCAAGCATGTGGGCCAGTTCAGTCGCACTCCAGTGTGGGCCCTGGTCAGGCCTCTGGGCTGGGGTGGGGGATCCTCAGAAAGAGTCCTGGAGGCCCAAGAGCTCCGTGTGACGTCCTAAAAGCGGATTGTTGTTTATCCATTCATGGTCCCAGGACACTTCGGTGTCTCCATCTCTTAGCCCTTGTGACTAATGCTGCAACGAGTGTGGGAGGTACACACAATGGAATATTATTCAGCCTTAAAAAGGCAGGAAATCCTGCCGTTTGTGATAACACGGAGGAACCTGGAGGACGTCTGTGCTAAGTGAAATAAGCCAGACACAGACAGACACATGATCTGACTTAGGGACTCTAAGATAATGTCCCAGTCATAGGAGCAGAGAGTGGATGGGCAGCTGCCGGGGGCTGGAGGGGTGGAGGATGTAAGGAGAGGCAGGTCAAGGGATGTAAGGTTCCAGTGGGTTCTGCAAGATAAATAAGGTCTGGAGAGCTGACGTAGTGATGTGACTAGTTCGCAGTACCGTGTCGTATGCTTGCAGTTGGCCAAGAGGGTAGATCTTAAGTGTTCTTACCAGGGAGAGAGAGGGCAAGAGGCAAAATGCTAATAACGATGGGAGGTGATAGAGAGTTGGCTTGGTTGTGGCGATCATTTCCCAGTGTGGACGTGTAGCAAAGCGTCACGCTGGATACCGCTCGTCAGTTACACCTCAAAGAAGCTGGGGGGTGAGGGAAGCGGATCATTTTTAACCAAACAGGCCTGTGATGAAAAAGCCCAAGCTGTCTGCACCGTGGAGTTCTTCGAGGCAATTTTAGATGACTGTTTGTTTATTTACTCCGGGAAGTCCCACCCTTGCCTCATGATCAGAGGATCTGTCTGATTAGACATTATAAACGGCTTTAGCTAATTAAAATGGGAGGCCGGGGATACAAAGCAATGGTTACTTCATAAATACCGCTTTGGGCAGACGGGATCTCCTAGTGTTGTGGAGCCCGGGGGGGGGGGGGTGCTAACGGGGCCCTGGGTGGTGGAAGGGCGGGGGTGCCGTGGTAAAGGATGGCTGGCAGCCTTTCTCCCTAGGGACAGAGGTGGGCGGGCCAGCCAGATGTGCAGGTGCGGGGAGGGGTGCTGCGTCCTCCCTGGGACACACAACCTCGAGGCTCCCAGGCCCCTCCCTTCTCCCTGCAGAGGGCGCGGCGTCTTCCTAAGCTTAGCCACCTGACTTTCATCTGGGAGAGAAGGTGTGTGACAGCTTCAGTCCTCTGCTCTTCCCTCCAAGCCAGCCAGCCAGGGGACTGCTCGCGTCCCAAGCTGCAAAGTGGCCGGGGATTTGAACACCCAGCCCCAGGGCAAGTCCTTGAGGGTCCCAGGCTTGGTTTGGAGGGATGCCGGCTGCTGTCTGTTTCGTGCGGAGTCTGCATGTCAACACCATGAGACCAATGTTGGATTCTTGTTTTTTTCCAGGCAACCGGTAACCAAAAACACTTTCAGGCAGTACCGAGTACTAGGCAAAGGGGGCTTTGGGGAGGTGAGTGAACATCCGTGTCTTCAGGTGGAAATTCTGTACTCCCACTGCCTCGGTCCCTTCTGGGTGCGCCTCGGGCGCCCTGCGCCCCCTGGCGGAGAGGGAGGGTGAGGCGTGGGGCCTGGGAGAGGCTCCGCTCAGGTGGGAAAGGAGACTGGTGGGATGGAGATGCTCTTGGAGCCAGCCTCAGTCCGGGTTTGCATCAGGAGGGGAGAAACGGGTGTTCTTGGCTATCTTTGGAGGAAGGTGGAGGGCACGAGGGGCCCAAGCATCTTTTGGCCACATGATACCGTTAACATGTGCTGCTGTCCTTTATCTGATCTTCCCGGTCTGCGAGGCAAGCCTTGTTATTCCCATTTTAGGGAGGAAGAAAGCTGAGGGTCGGAATGACCCAGCCAAGGTCACACAACTGAAAAGGGGTGGCAGCGAAAAGACGAGAACCCACATGCCCTGGCTCCCATTCTGCTGAATGATAAAGTCAGGGCTGTTGGGGGTCTGACACGAAAACAAGCCTCTCTTACCAGCAGCTGGTGTTTGGAAGTCCCCAGTTAGCAACGGCTGCATCTGGGTGGAAGCTGGGGATGGAGAAACTCTAGTTGCCTCTGAGGGAAGGCCAGCACTTTAGCCCTCTGCTGGTCATCTAATCTCAGCGTAGTTGGTCACACATCTTGAAAAGCTAGGAAAGACCTAAGGGAAGAGGGACAGAAGCAAGGGGCACTGAGGTCAGCTCTTGAGGGCAGGGCCTGGGCAGCAGTGGTCTGAGTCCAGGCTTCCTCCAGTCGCGGGACTGGAAGCACCCTTGGGCCAGGCTCTGGCACATTGGTTCCCAGCATCCTGGCCTCAGAGGAGCCTGGGCAGCCCTTCACATGTTCCATACTCTTGGCCTCTCTCTTGCACCTCAGGTCTGTGCCTGCCAGGTTCGAGCCACGGGAAAAATGTATGCCTGCAAACGCTTGGAGAAGAAGAGGATCAAAAAGAGGAAAGGGGAATCCATGGCACTTAATGAAAAGCAGATCCTGGAGAAGGTCAACAGCCAGTTTGTGGTGAGTGGCCAGGGCCCAATGACGGGCCACCCTCCTGGTCCTGGTGAGCAGGGCTTCCATCCCTCGGGAAAGGGGTGGTCGTCCAGTGTGCCGGGTCCCCATCCTCCAGGGAAGTGGAGCGCAGTGAGAGGATTAAGCAGCAGAAAGGCAGCTGGGCTTTCCCTCCATCCCTCAAACTAGGCTGGCTCCCCTCTGTGTGGGACCAAGGCTTCTGTTCTCTAGGAGCACCTTGCAAACTCCCCAGTGGATAGAAGCACCCACTCTGGGCCCAGCCAAGGAGCTTTGTTTCCACAGATCCCCATAGGCTGGTTTCACCACAGGGAGACCTGAGAGTCAGTGTCCTGGAGAGGTTCATTGTGTTACCATGTCTCGCCCAGGCTCTGCTGCAGTAACAAAATACCCTCCAATTCAAGGTAGCCAGACACAACAAAGACCATTGTCACGCATGTGGAATCCAACCAGATCCCACCACCCTTCTCCGTCTTACACCTGCTTCACCTGGAGTCTTAAAAGTATATGCTGGGGGATGTGCCCAGGGACCCTTACTGCCTCCACCATGGGGATGCCCCCCACTCTGCCCACAGTCCATGGGCCAGAACAAGTCACTGCCAGGGCCAAGCCAGCTGCAGGGAAACATGGAAGAGGACGCGGGTGTTCAATCAGCAATCAGTCCCTCTGCCACATGTCACTATCAAACACCTGCACAAGGTGAAACCCATACAGCACGGGGAGGTACAGAGTACGAATAAAAGCCTCCCTCTTCAGGTAACCGTCCCAACAGGTCTGATTCATGCAGAGGCTTTAATATTTTTGACCAGTGGAGTCCTACCAGACATCTTAGGCTGCAGGGCTTTCCCCTTAAATTGTAGATCTTCTCCTGTGGCCACACCTATAGCTGTACCTCTTTTTTTTTTAATTTTTTTTTAATTTTTATTTATTTATGATAGTCACAGAGAGAGAGAGAGGCAGAGACACAGGCAGAGGGAGAAGCAGGCTCCATGCACCGGGAGCCTGATGTGGGATTTGATCCCGGGTCTCCAGGATCACGCCCTGGGCCAAAGGCAGGCGCCAAACCGCTGCGCCACCCAGGGATCCCTGTACCTCTTTTTTTATGCTGTGAACCCTTCCCCGCCCCCGTCTAGCAAGGAGATAACCCATAATCTGTGCAGCCAGCCCCATGGGTACAGATCATTTCTGGTTTTTAAGCCACTGCAAACAAGGCTGCCGTGTCCACCCTTGACCATCCTTTTGGCGCATTTCTGTGAATGTGTCCGTAGGATGATGGATTTCTGGTGGAGGAATTATGGTGACAGAGGGCGTGTGCATTTTCCCTTTGGTAGCAGTTCCCAAGTGGCTCTCTGTGAAGATTGTGCCGGTTAAACGCCCACCAGCTGTGTGTGAGAGCCAGAGATGCCATCAACCTAGCACTTTCATCAGTACCCAGAGGGTGTGGTTTTATCAGGTGACCCTCCAAGGGGGCAGGGGTGTGCACCTCTGGGTCTCATCTCAGGCTGCCCCCAGCCACCAGCCCCGTCCTGGGGAGTGTGATGCGGCTGGGCTAGAAGCTAACGCCAGCCATCATTTTAACCATAGGCCTTTTTGAGTCCAGAACCTTCCTCTGAGCTGTCAGCCCCCTTCAGGGAGGACCATAGGTCACTGCCTGGATGTTGCCAGTAGAACCCTCATCATCTAATGAAGAGGCAGTGCTGGCTCTTGTCGGGTTGGTGATGGCGGGTGCTACTTGAGAGGAAAGGGCTGTGTGTCTGATAAATGTGGTGGCCCATCTTTCAGGGCTTGGACCACCCTCAGCTGTGCCCTGTCCACTGTCCCTGGCAGGGAGTTCCCTCAGCGCCCTCCAGGAGCCCCTCCTTGGTGACCATGGGCAGGTGCAAGAGGGTGAGCCAGCTCGGCAGCTGGCACTGAGCACAGTCCCCAGAGCCCTTGCGCTCAGCTCCCGTTCTGTTTGCTTTCCTCAGAAATAACTCCCCTTGTTCCTGGCCTTTGCATCCAAGTTTATGGCCAGCTTGTCCCCAGCCTGCTCCATGGTGACCAGATTTCATCTGGGCTGGCTTCCTAAGTGGAGAAGGACAAGTACCACCCAGTGGCCTTTGCCTCAGACTCAGCCCTGCTGCCTCTCCCATAGCCCGTGGCCGCTGTCCATCCTGAGCAGCTGGTCTCCACCAGCAAGGAACTAGGTCCTCCCTCTTAATGGTCCCTTTGACCAGACGTGTCCTGCGTGCAAGAGGAGACAGTCTTTGCCAAACTGTTTCCTTTACAGAGTCCTGCTGGCCAGCTCCGCAGCACACTCCCAGCATCCCTGCAGTAATGAGACCCCAGCCCGAAGGGCCTCTGGGCTCTGCTTTCCTGGACTGTCCAGCAAAGCAACCCATATTCTTAACCAAATGAAGCATGCACATGTAAACACACAGGCTTCCTAAAAGGGCAGCATATTGGCCTGCCCTCCCCACTTTGCCTCCTCACCTAGAACCAGGTATCAGAAGGTGCAAGTCCTTCGTCAGCCAATGGGCAGTGGGCAGAGGTGCCATGAGGCTGTCTGGGCGCAGGGCAGCAGCCTGAAGCTGTGGAGGACCCCACGCCAGCCCTCCCTTCCCAGCCTCAAGGATTCTGAGGAGGAAGAGTGGTAGTGGATGGCAGTCGCCGGACCCTCACCATGGTGCTGTCTTGTGCTCCCAGGTCAACCTGGCCTATGCCTACGAGACCAAGGACGCGCTCTGCTTGGTTCTGACCATCATGAACGGGGGTGACCTGAAGTTCCACATCTACAACATGGGTAACCCTGGCTTTGACGAGGAGCGAGCCTTGTTTTACGCGGCAGAGATTCTCTGCGGCTTAGAAGACCTCCACCGGGAGAACACCGTGTACAGGTGAGCGGGCTCGCTGCCTGGTCCTGCCACCAGAGTCTGAGAGGCGGGCTGACCTTCCACATCGTAGGTCAGGTGGGCACCCCTGCCCTGGGATTCAGGGCCCGGTCATTGCCAAAGAGACTCACCCTGGACCAAGTAAGTGAGGTGGCCACTCGGGCCAAGTATTTGAGGTGCTGTTCCCTCAGAACTGATGAGGACGGGCCACGGCACTGGTCCCTTCCAGCCCAGCCTGCAGGAAGCTCAGTGAGCTGGACTCTGGGAAGACTTAGTAGGGTCACCACCACCAGGGGCAGCAGAACTGACCTCGGTCCATCCCACTCCATCTGCCTTTATGGATTCCACGGGTAGTGGTCTACAAACTTGTCTCACTGCCCCTCAAGGAAATCTGAAAACCAGTGTGCCCCTTCTACGTTACAGAAACATCTGAAATAGTTCATGTGTTAACATAGTGGGTAATATTTTGAAACCGAGCAGTGACATCACTTTTTAAAGGTATCCAGTAGAATCTGCTGTAGCAAAGTGATTTCCACCATTATCCATTTTAAAAATGCATGAAAATTCTTTGAAGGTGAGGGATTCTCTGTCATTCTCTTCTCCACCCTCTCCCTCCCCCACAGAATGTTATTATGTCTTTTTTTTTCCCTAAAAGTCTGTCGTTGATCAGCATGCAGCTCTGAGATAGATGAATATGTATAAGACTTTTTTAAAAATTTCCTTTGACCACAGGCTTTAAATGTTAAAATAACTTCTGTTGAGTTGCCGTTGTAATGATTATTAGTAGAACCCGTTTCTGAGCGGGAGCGGGATCCCGGGGGATTTTACACTCTGGAGCAGGGCACTGAAGTCATAGAGGCAGGAAGGAGCCTGCTCTCCTTCTGTCACTTGGAATCTGTGCCAGTGAGAAAGGGCAAGTGGGAGGGGAGACCCCAAAGAACGCCAGAATAGAGCATTCTCGTGTGGAGGACCTAGAAATGCATATTCTTGAAACCCGCAGCACACAAGAAGTCCCAGCGGGCGTGCACACCCCAGTATGAAGACCTTCGCCACAGAGCTCTTGGCAGAGATGAGCTTGGGGAGTCCAAGAAGGTTTTGAAAACAAGAAGGAACCGTCTTGATGACTGCTTGTCCCCCCTCCATCTCCCCATTTAGGCCTTTGTTCTGTTTCCATTCAAGTGAGAAGAGAAAAAAATTCCCTAAGGGTTGAAAAAAAGAACTCTCCACTTGATTGCTTTTCACTTAAAACAAAAAGAAAGGCGGCCCTCCAAGTTCTAGCCCTTATTCTCGAGAAGAAGGGAACCACAGGGCCTCCCTGGCCTCCACCGCCCGCCGCGGCCTCTCTGCGGGCTTGGGTTCTGGCCCGCGCCTGCCAGCCAGCTATCTTTCCAACCCTGTGGCTGCTGGCTTGCTAGGTACCGGCTCTTGCCCTTATTTGGAATTGTTAACACATCAACAGAATGCCAATTAAATAAGAGTGGCAAAGTGTTTTGTAATAAATAACTATGTACAAACCCATTATCACCTTGTGAGGCTGCCCCACTGGATTTGAACACAGTCACCATTTCCCGTGAGGACAGCTGCCATCAGTTAAATAAGCAAAGCCAGTGGGTTGAGAATGGGATCCTCGATCCAGATGCTAATGGCCTAACTGAGCTGTACCCGCTATCCTATTGGCTGTTCTTTTACCCCAGAGAGGACCTGCTACTAGTAAAGCCAGACATTTCCACTGCCTCTCTCCGGCAGTGGGGGTGGCGGTGGGGAGCGTGTTCTTATGAACAGCAATGGTGTCATCAAAGAGAAGGGACAGGAGGGACAGAAGGGTAGGGGCACACCTGCAGCTGTGCCTCGCTGCTGTGCTTTCTCCCAGGCTTGTAACTGCTGGAGTGGGGGATGTGCCAGGCTCCAGGGGTTCCCTTCCCAATAGGGGTCCCTCCTCAACAATTCTCTGCCCCAGTTCTACAGCTGGAGCTGTGTTCTCAGTAACTTCTCTTCTCCAATTCCCAGGCTCGGCTCTGCCTTCAGGGCATCTCAGGGCATCCTGTGGCCTCCAGGTGTTCCCAGGCCTGGAGGGGTCTCTCGCCACACCTACCAGGAGTCATCTCCCCTCCTGGTGCCAGCAGCATGAAGACGGGAGCCAGGGCTGGCCTTTGCCTGACCCCTTCCCAGTCCTCTCCAGGGTCAGGAAGGTGCCTGGCAACAGCGGCATTTGTTTTAAACACTGGGAGGAGGGAAATTAGTCCAAGATTGTCTGGATCCAGAGAGAGACCAGATAGCCTGAGCCAGGAGGTTAGAAGGAAACACCAAAAGAGGACTTCCCAAATGCCATGCCCTGATGCTCAGAATGCCCACACTCACTTGCCATCTTTCCTTTTCAGAGATTTGAAACCCGAAAATATCCTGCTAGACGATTATGGTAAGTTGGGGAGCAGCTTGGGAGATTCCTTTCCTGCCCTGTAGCCAAGATGAGCCTCACAGCCCAGAGGGAGCAGCAGGCCTTCCAGCAGAGCCTGTTGGAGACCCAGCCATGGGGCTGTGGGAGGGCAGCGGGCGAGGAGGGTCAACACCCATCCCCTCTCCCCAATCCTGGGTACTTGGTGAAGAAGTAGCATAGCTTGGCCAAAAGAGAGAGACAGAGAGAGAGCACCAACTGTGAGAAGTTGGGAATTTCAGAAATCCTGGGCAAGTAACTAACTCTTACACGATGAGTCTGTCTTCCTTGCTTATGAAATGGAAATAGGGGACCTTGCTCTGCCCATTTCAGAGGGTGGGTGGGGGCGGTGGTGAGGCTCCAACAGGGCAGCTTGAAGGGAAACTACCTCACCAGCTACAGCCAGCTCTAGGTGTGCTCCGCGTTTTTTTGTGCATTACCATCGCTCTTTTCCTCTGTGTGTGTGTGTGTGTGCGCGCGCACGTGTACACACACGTAGGTGATGAGCAGCTACGTAATCCCTCAGAACTGTTTGGCCTCACACACCTGGGAAATGGTTTTCACACCCCGTTATCTGACTAGATCTTCCCTTCTCCGCAGAGGGGCCAGGGCCAGCATCCCTGTGCCCATTTGACAGATGACAGGATTGAGGCTCAGAGGAGCCAATCTCCCAAGGTCACCCAGCAGTATCAGTGGGGAGCTGAGACCAGAAACCAGAGGTCCCTCCACACTGCCTCAGACATCAGGCAGCCCCAGGCAGAGGGGAGGGAGAAGGGGAACCAGGTCGTTAGGTGACCTGGAGGGAGGTTTGAGTGGGATGTCACCGTGTGGAGGAGTGGGCAGAGAGCCCCAGGCCTGCCCCCCCTCTTGGATGAGCCCAGTGCCCCCCGGCATCCTTGTTTCCTGCTGGTCTTAGAACTGTGCTCATGCCTGGTCTTCCCGATGGCTGGAGCCCGTGTGTTCTCGTTTCCTCAGTTTTGTCAGGAGCTGCTGAGCCAGGGAATCCACACCAGGGTCCAGGCTGTGAGGCAAGGAAGGGGGGCAGTTGTGGCCGTGACCCTGCCTGAGTGAGCCGCCCAGCAAGGCAACGAGACTGGGCGCTCAGTACTGTGTCATCTCAGGCTTTGGGGTCAGTCCTGGACTCAGTTCCAGCTCTCTGTCTCCCCAAGGCCCGGACAACTTCACTGTTTCTCCAAAGGGAGAACATAAAGGACCTCCGGAGATCAACAAGGGAGGACATGGAGTTGCTTCCCAAATTGCTTTATAATTTTTCCCCTTAAGCAAATTGTAATATTTCAGGAGAATCTCACATTTTTCCCATGAAGCAATCCCAGAATCAGGCCAAGGCGTTTTAAACTTGGTGATCTCAGCCTTCCAAAAAGCCCATTAGGGCATTTTATGAGTAGGCCATCGTCCAGCCAAATGCAGGCATCCTTTCCTATCTTCGTGTTTTCTCCCTGAAACGTAATGATTGACCCACGTCCCCTGACACCTGGACTTCCTCAAGGGTCTGCAGTCGCCCTGAGGTGGCTGACTGGGATGCCCCTCTTCGTGGACATGTAAAAACGCCGAGAGTCTGTGTGCCTTGCCCAGGGGCACACGGCAGGTCTGTGGCCCTGCCCAGGGTGGGCCACTCGTCCACACGACCATCCCAGGGACCCACTGACTCTGCTCTCCCCACTCAGGCCACATTCGGATCTCAGACCTGGGTCTGGCCGTGAAGATCCCCGAGGGAGACCTGATCCGCGGCCGGGTGGGCACGGTCGGCTACATGGGTGAGTGTGGGTGTGGCCCCTTCCTGAGCCCATCTCTGGCGCCGCTGGCCTCTTTGTGTAACTACGACCAGCTGTAGAGCCACAGCAGGCAGCGGGAGGTTTTAGCCAGGGTTGGGGTAAATGTCGGGGCCCAGGGTTCAGCCTGCCTAAACTGAGCTCTCTGAACCCCCCACCCCAGCCCCACCTACGCCTCAAAGCCAAGCCACTGTCAGCATCAGTGGTCAGTGCTTGGTGCACAGTGCTGCTCGGGGGAGGCTGATCTGAAGGTAGGGGGCTGGTGAGTTGGCAGGCAGCCGTTCAGGAAGGCGGTCACTAGGAAAGGTCCAGAAAGGAGCGCACCACCCGCTGTGTCACCAAGCTCGCTGCTAAGCAGAGACCAGCCTTAGGCTCCGTGTGCTGCCCCCAGCTCCTCACTGTGCACGCCTGCTTCAAGACTGTCACCCTGGGGGCTGCAGGGAAGAGACCCAGAGCTACATCTGGTCCTCTGGAATGCCCCTTCCAATGAAGCACATCCCCTGGGCTTCCCCTGCACATGGCACCTCACACACATGTCCTCTCGCCCCAGGAGGTAGGGGGCTCCAGGAAGCACCGGGAGCTGTGGATGTTGTCCTCTGCCAGGCTCATGCCAATGGCACTCACATAGGATTCTGTACGTTGTCTCTGCCACTAGAAGGTCCTTTTCAGATTGCGTGGCATTTGGGAACCTGTGGGGTGTGTATCTACATGTATGTAGGTAGCTGTGTGTATACTCGTGCCAATGCTGATGGATGGGTGGATGGATGGACGGACAGATGATAGAACAGTCAATTGATGTATCTGCACATCTTGGTGGACACCTGTGTCTCCTCTTGCGCGGAGTGTTGCACACACCTGCAGGGCCTCTGTTGTATGCATACTGGCACCTGTGTGGTTGCATTTGCCTCTGGATGTTTGTGACCTGCCTGATGATGTGAAACTTATCTTTTTGCACTTCTATGGTTAATCTATGATTCGTTTTATCAAAGTAGTAGGGAAGCCATAGTGAGAGGCTGTTTCAGTACTAGGTAAACTTAAAATCATCTTTACTTTGGGTGGACGCACTTTCATTCCTGGAAACAAATGTGTGTGTAGTGCCTACTAGGTGTCAGGTGTCACATAGTAGGGACACAGCAGTGAGTAAAGCAGCTCAGATTCTAGTGGGGGAGACAGCAAGGGAAGAGGCCATTTCCATCCACTGTGGTCAGGCTTTTGAAGCCACAGTCAGAGCCCTTTAGGAGCACAGAGGAGAGCAGTCAGGGCAGGCGCCCTGGAGAAGGTGGTGTTTATGGCAGAGGAAGCATGTCCTTGCCCTGAAGCCTTCTGTGAGCAACACCATGACTGCTGGGTGCAGATGCCCTGAGGCTCCATGGGTGTGAGTCACAGCCCTGGCCCCGTGTGCCCCAGCTCTCTCCCGCCACCAGCTGCCTCTCACCTCTCCTTGCTCCGCTTCTCTGCTCTCAGCTCCGGAGGTCCTGAACAACCAGAGATACGGCCTGAGCCCTGACTACTGGGGTCTGGGCTGCCTCATCTATGAGATGATCGAGGGGCAGTCACCATTCCGGGGCCGCAAAGAGAAGGTGAAGCGGGAAGAAGTGGACCGCCGGGTCCTGGAGACAGAGGAGACCTACTCCCAGAAGTTCTCTGAGGAGGCCAAGTCCATCTGCAAAATGGTGAGCTGGTGAGCCAGACGCTCCCCCCTCGGGCTGGGTCTAGTGGCATCTCCCTTCCTGCCCCCAGCCGAGGAGAGCAAACAGGCTAAAGGGAACAGGGACAAGGCATGTTGGGGCAGGAGGAGTGAAGCTCCCAAGCCAGAGGAGCGAGCACCCCTCATTGGGGCCTGGGGTGCTCAGCGGGGGGTGGGGTCTCCATGACCAGGGGAGGGGCTGAGGGAAACTGCTGAGATACCCTCCATCCATCCTTGTTGGCTCGGCGCAGCGGAGAAAGGAGGTGATTCCAGCTGATTCCCCCAAGGGATCCAGGGGCATCCCCTGCCCTTGACCTTGGCCCCATGCAGCCTCAAACTCTGGATCTCTGGGCACAGGCTAAGGCGGTCAGGTGCCGGGCAGGTGGTGGGCTGGTGATATTTTTCAGCCTTTGAGTGGGTTACAACCGAGTTTTCCTTCCACTACATGAACGCTGGCCGCACTAGCCCAGGTCCTGCCCAACAGCAGTGTATGGATAGTGGGATTTGGCCATCCACAGGGAGGGCGCAGGTGGGGAGTGACGCTTAGACAGGCTGGGCAGGGAAGCTGGATGGAGGAAGTAGTGACAGGAGCCATCCAAAGCGAAGCTGGGTGTGCATCCACCCCTGGCCCGCTGTCCTTCCCCTCCACTCAGGTGGCCGCTCCTGGCCAGAGGCTTTGTCAGGGCGGGGGTGGGGGGAACGCATCCCAGTGTCTGCTGGCTCTCAGGCTCCCAAGTTCTGCTGTGTCCACTTGGGCTGTCCTCCCTCCAATGCCAGGCGCAGTGGTGCTGCACCCCCAAACCCCCCGCAACTGCCCTCCAGTGTGGCCATGTGGGGTCAAGAGGGCCTGAGCTCTGGGTACCCGTGAGCCACAGACTTCCTCTCCCTGGGGCACTGCTGCGCCTGGAACCGCAGATGAGCAGGGGTGAGGCTGCCGTCCCTGCCACCCCTGACTCATGTACATAAACCACGAAGAGCTGGCCCCAGGAGTTGATTAAAGTAGCCACGCTTCCGCTTCCAGAACAGCCCAGGCTGCACTGTTAGAGGCCCGGGAACCAGGTGGCGCAGCTCCTCGCCCTGAGACGCCCCTCTCCGGGAGCCGTCTACCCGCTGCTCGACCCCTTCCTCTTACCAGCTTCAGTCTGATGTCACAGAGCCATGGGAAGAAGGATTTGGGGCAAGAGCTTCCTTTTGATCACTTCCAAAAAAGAGGAACCATAGATCTGCCTTTCACATGTGCGGGAGGTGCTCAAGGAGGGATGGCGTGTTCACACGCAGACACACCCAGGCCGCTCGGCCTGTGCCCTGGCCTGCAGCCGGCACTCGCCTGCATGCCCGGGCCTCCCAGGAATCCAGGTGGTCACAGCCAGCGGGGAGGGGAACAGGATGAGCAAGGCAGAAGTCAGGTGGGTGGAAATTTGGGGTTCTAAGGATGTTTGAAAACTAGGGTTGGGGGGTTGCCAATAATACGTGGTTGTGGAGGCAAGGCGTCTCTCCGGCGGGACCAAGCCAGGCAGGGATAGAAGAGGGAGATGACCAGCCATGCTCAGAGCATCACTGGTGGTCCCGAGTCAGGTGAGGGTCTCAGAGAAGCAGAGCAGCCGGGGCAGGACATGCGACGTGCTGAGAGGACGGGGAGGGCGCATCCCTGCCCTCCCTTGCCCCTGTCTTTGGTGCGCGGCTTTGCAGCTCCGGGACCAGGGGCACTGCCGGCCCTCTGCTGCCCCCTGCTGGCCACCCAGGGAAAGGTGGCGGCTGAGCCTGGGGCCCTGGGCCAACCTTGGCCCATGGGTGTCAAGTGTCAAACCAGTGTCCCCTCATCTTTCTCTGCTGGAAGAACCGACAAGCCTTTTGGCCTTGCTTCACCCTCTTAGACATGACCATGAGGTCTTAGGATTCTATTCTTGGGGCTTCCTGGCCACCCCTCACCCCATCCGGTCTGGTCCAGCAGCCAGGTTTGCCCTGTCCCCTCCAGGAGGTGCCAGCTGGGGGACACAGCAGGGCCTGACTCCAAGGAAACCATGAAGGCTTGGGCACATCAGGCTGTTTCTAGACTCTGGCAGCCCCAGCCCTGCCTGTCTAATAAGGCCGCTCCACAAACAGCAAGGAAGCTGGTCCCCAGCCGCCAGCTGCTTCCCCCATTCCATCTTGGCGGCCACAAGACTCTCTCCACTGCCCTGGGGTCCAGAAATTCATGTGTCTCACTGCCCTGGCGCCCCTGGTCCAGTCCTTAGACCCAGAACTGCTCCCCCCTCAGGCCCTCCCTCTGGCCATTCAGCCACCTCAGCCTCAGCAGCCCACTAGCCCATCCCTTCTCCTCCTCCAGGAAGCCCACCCTGCCTGCCCCACTCGCCCAGCTCACTGCCACCTCTCTCTTGCTTCTCCCGGTGGACACCCAATGTCAGGGTTGCAAACAGGCAGCGTGTCAGTGGGTGTTCATCCTGCTCAGTGTTTTAGAAAGAGGTGAATGGTGAGTTCATTGCTAAGATTTAATATTGGAGGGATTTCGCATAAAAACCTGGATTTTCAGCCCTGGGCCCCGGCAGGAGCTGATGGGTAGCCTGGCAGGGTCCACCCAGCCCACTTGGCCTTCACGGTCCTTGTCCCTGTCTTCGTGTGGCCGGCCCCTGCAGGCTCTGGGGTCTACAGCTGGGCGGGTCCAGCCTCTACCCAAGGAGTTCTGATTTCTCAGAACGGGGAAGCACCTGGCCCAGCAGAGCCGATTCCTGGAGCCTTTGTGGAAACACAGAGCCCCTAGAGAAGAGAAGCTGAGGCCCGGAGCCACCAGGTCACGGGGCAAAACCTGCCTGGGTGGTCACTGGGCCGCAGGTTGACGGCGATTCTCACAGCTCAGTCCTTTCTAGTCTGTGACCTGGTGCTTGTCCCGGTGCTGCCTTTGATTCCTCTGTTTGAAGGGAAATGGGGGGACCGGGGAATGGTTCCTGGAAGCCTCCCCCTCCAGACCATGAGGCCCAGGAGGCCCGCCTGCCCACTGGCTGTGCACTGCAACCCCAGCCCACACAGCTAGCAGCAAATGCGTGCAGAAGGAAAGCACACAGAGGGGGCCAGGTATTGGGGGAAGAGGGGCAGGACTCCCTCTGGGGTGCAGGCCATCCACCCTGATTTTAGTCTCAAAGCAGTGAGTCCAGCAGCATGCCAGGTGCAGTGCTCAGTGGCGCTGGGGGAGGGAAGCACAGGCTGGGACACCTGGACAGTGGCGGAGGGGCTGGCACTGGGTGGTCAGCTGGTAGGCCTCCAGCATCCCAGCCTGCTCCTCCCTGCCCCCTCCCAGCCCCGTCTCCCCTCCCCCCTGCCCTCCTGCTCACTTCCCCGCCTCACTCACACCTTTAGGCATCTGGCCTGGCTGTCTGCTACTGCAGCCTCCTCTCCTATGAACGTTCCCACCTCTTGGTTCTGATGAAGACACTCCTCTACCTTGACCATCTGTGGCTCCTCACTACCTCCAGTGGGGGGAGGGGAGACGGTCCTTGCCCTTTGTAGCTCGCCTGTAGCGAGAGAGGTGACGCAATGTGGCAAACATTAGTGGCACCAGGAGCAGCAGGTCCTGGGGCAGACCCCCTCGGGGAGGGCAGGCCCTCCTGCCCGCTCCAGGCCTCTAGGTGCGCCTCGAGTGTGGGACCACACTGCAGCAAGGCCTGAGTGGGCTGGACAGTGTCCTTTGGGTGCCTGGGAGTGGCACAGGCTCACAGAGGCTGGAGGAGGGACGTGTCCTCAGGGGCATACTTGGGAAAGGAGATGACCACAGGTGCCTGAAGCCCCTGAGTCCCCCTAAGCCTTCAGCCAGGAGGAAAGGCCATCAGGCATGAGCTCTCGGGGCTCTCTTGTCACAGCTGCTCACCAAAGATGCAAAGCAGAGACTGGGCTGCCGGGCGGAGGGGGCTGCGGAGGTCAAGAGACACCCCTTCTTCAGGAACATGAATTTCAAGCGCTTGGAAGCCGGGATGTTGGACCCTCCCTTCATTCCAGACGTGAGTCGCTCCCTGAGCCCAGGCTGAGCCTGTGCACCTGCTCACGTCCATGCTGGGGCCCGTGGGTGGGCAAGAACAGGGGTGTTAGTGCTCTGACAGCCACAGCGCGGTTCTGGTGCCCGACGCCGTGGCGGGCACTCACACCAGCCCCTGGGTGCAGGTGCTTCTACGGCCCCCACTTTGCAGGTGGGGAGACCGAGGCCTAACTGGGATGTGTGGTTTCCCCAGAGTTCCTAAGCACCCCAGCTGGGAGCCCAGCCGGACCTGTGGGGCAGCAGAGCCAAGGTGCCCCGTAGTGTGAGAAGGGCCAGGCAGTCCTCCGGGGCCCCCCACATTCCTTCTCTCTGGAGGATGGGCTTCCACCATCCTGGCCCTGTGGGCTTCGAGGGAGCGGGGCTCCCCGGAAGTGCCAAGGGACGTGAGGTCCGAGAGGGCATGTTGTGTCACCGCACTGCGGCCCCAGCCTGGAGAGCGGGATGAGTGGCGGCCGGCAGAGGGTGATGGTAGGAAGGAGCCCCTCGGCAGAGCTGTGAAAGGGAGCGGCAGGGTCCCCGGAAAGGCGCCCCCCCGCCCCCATCAGAACCCGAGTGACCGAGCGCTCTGGCCGCAGCCCCGCGCCGTGTACTGCAAGGACGTGCTGGACATCGAGCAGTTCTCCACCGTGAAAGGCGTCAACCTGGACCACACGGACGATGACTTCTATTCCAAGTTCTCCACGGGCTCCGTGCCCATCCCGTGGCAGAGCGAGGTGAGCAGGGTGGTGGCCGTCCGAACCTGGGGGACGAGGGACGGACACAGTGGTCTAGGGGACTGTCTCGGGAAGTCCGGCCGGGAGAGGGGAGGCTGGAAGCACAAGTGGTTGGAGCTGAGGGATACAGGAGGGGCCCTGACAAAGAGGAAGGGTGCAGAGCATGTGGGGTGACCTGGGCTTGGGTGGGACGAAGGGGGAGATGAGGGCTGGGTCTGGACGATGAGCACACCCCGGAGGACGGCTTCTGCTCCCTCATGGAGGCAGCTCGGGGAGGCCAGCAGGAGAGAGGTAGGGGCAGGCGGGGAGCGGTCTGGGCCCCAGGGGCCCCTGAAGGATGCGGGGCGGGGGGAGGACCTATGGGGAGCAGGCTCAGGGCAGGGTGGCGGCCGCTGGGACTCCTGTCCAGCCAAGACGACTAACGCAGCCCCTCACGCCACCCTGGGGCTCCTTCTCCAGATGATAGAAACCGAGTGCTTTAAGGAGCTGAACGTGTTTGGACCTAACGGTACCCTCTCACCGGACCTGAACAGAAGTCACCCTCCAGAACCGCCAAAGAAAGGGCTGCTCCAGAGAATCTTCAAGCGTCAGGTGAGGGACGCCCCCTCCGTGCCCGGCTGTCCCGGCGTCGGCCCCGGGATGCCCCGGGCCCAGGTACTTCCCCGAGGCCGGAGCTGTGGCCTCCTCCCTGCATGTGGGGTGTGGGAGACGGGGGTTAGGGTGGGAGGCCGCAGCCTGCCCGAGCCCCTGAGACCCGCCGGGTTGGGGGACCCGCAGGGGCCGGCCCAGAGCTCGCCTTTCATCAGGGCTTCTCAGCCCCGGCACCGTGGATGTTCTGGGTGAGTTCTCCATCCCGGGGGCCGCCTCGTGCCCTGGAGTGCCCTTAGCAGCCTCCGTGGCCTCTACCCACCAGGTGCCAGCAGCGCCCCATCCCTACCCCGCTCCCACTGTACCAATCGGAATGTCTGCAGACCTTGCCCAGTGTCCTCTGGGGCCGACATCTCCCTGAGAGAGAACTCACTGCCCCATGTGGCCATGGTAGGGCCTCAAGTCCTGTGGGTACCAACTGCACGTTAGAGAAAGTAGGCAGGACAGCTGTGGGGAGGTGATCCCAGGGAGCCTCAGGGCTCCTGGGGTGGGGCCCCCAGAGTTGGATGCCGCGCCCTCCGGCTGGCAGCAGAGAAGACTCTGCCCCTTGGGAAAAGGCAGTCTTCCTCAGAGCCTGTCCCTGGGCTCAGCCCAGGGTTGAGGTTCAGCGTGGGCCAAGTGGAAGAAGTGTCCCCATGGGCCAGTGAGGGACCCCTGAGGCCCTCACCTCCTCCCCTTGCCCCAGGAGGCCAGAACCGCACCCCCTCCTGGCCTGGCCCATGTGTCCATCCCACAGCCCTGAGGCTCCTGTTCTTTACACTCCCCAGGAGGATGAAGGAGGAGAGACAGGGCATCCCAGCTCCCCCACCCCCACCCCATAACAGGATGGGGCAGCTGTTGAGTGCTTTTTGAGGGCCTCTCTTACTCTCCACAGAAGCCTTAATTCAACCATTTGGCTGTTCAGCCAGGCTGTATCGAGTGCCTACTGGGTGCAAGGCTGTTTTCTCAGGGTTTGAGATGCAGCAGCAAGCCAAACCGGGATCCCTCCTTTTGGGGCGTCCTAATGCAGCGTGAGCCTCAGATGTGCTACCATGATCCCACTTCCAGATAGAGAAACTGAGGCTGAGGGGGGATTCAGGGAACTTGCCTAGGGCCACACGGCTGGTGAGCCCACAGGGGGGATCTGGGGATAATGACAGGAGGCACAGATCATGCACGTGGAGAGAAAATGCAGACTGAGGACAAGTTTGGGGTTTTATCTGAAAGCTTCATGCATCCTATCCCCAAATATACTTCTGTTCATATACTATAAAAATAGAATTTTTAAATGCTTCCACAAACTAAAATTGAAGTTCCCCAAAGAAAGGACCTAAGCCCTCACCACTGAGTCCCTAGCACGTCCTTAGGTCCAGGGAGAAGCACTTGCTGGGGAGACCTGGGGTCTCACAGACCCGGGGTCTGAATGTGGCCCTGCCACTTCCTGCCTCTGTGGGCCCTCCGGAAAGGTCAGGGCCCAGAGCCCGCGAGAGGACGGAGTGAGGTAGAGGTTCGTGGCCCTCAGCACAGCACCCAGCACCCCCCCCCCGGCAGATGCCCCGGGGCCTCTCCTCCTCCTCCTTCCTGCAACGTGTGGGGCCTGCGCCCAGGGGATGCCAGGAGGGTGCCGAGAGCACTAACGACGCTCTTAGCCACACTGCACGTGAAGCAACCAAGAGATTTAATGACTTGCCCAAGGTCCCTCAGCTAAGTGACAGCTTTCAGACTCCAAAGCGGGTCTACAACTACTGATCCTACAGATATTCTAGGAGGGGCCACCCCTCCCTCTCTGCCTTGGGGTCCTCTAGCCCTGGGTTTGCAGGGGGAGAGAGCACGGGCAGCAGAAAGCAAGAGCACCTGGCCAGCAGCCCCGACCGAGGCCCTGTTTTCTGATTCAGAGGCCCCTACGAGTCCACCAGGATTAACTCACTTTCTCTCTCTCGCTCTCGCTCTCTCCTCCAGCATCAAAACAATTCCAAGAGTTCACCCAATCCCAAGACCAGTTTTAACCACCACATAAATTCAAACCATGTCAGTTCAAACTCCACCGGGAGCAGCTAGTTGGAGCTCTGGCCTTAAGTCCACAGTGGGACCAGCCCAGCCCCTTGTCCGTCGAGGCAGAACTTGTGGACGGGGGAGCCCTCCAGAGGAGCCGGGGAAGGAGGCCGTCCGCCCCCTCAACGCAGAGCCTCCAGGTTTCTCAAAGAGATTTCCACTCAGGTCTGTCTCCAGAGGTGGCCCTCAAGCCGACGTGGAACATTGCAATAGAAATCCAGTTGGATACGACAACTTGCACGTACTTTAATAGCGTCATACCTAGAACTGAATTTTGTCTTTATTATTTTTAAGGAAAAGTTTTGTAAATTTCTCTATTGTCTCAGTTTACATTTTGTATATTTGTATTTAAATGAAAGTCAGACTTTGAGGGTGTATATTTTCTGCGCAGCCGCTGTCAAGTCATGTGTTTTCAGACATTTTAGAGTGGGTGGGGGGGGGTGTTACCAAAAAAAAAAAAATGTGACTCAAGACTTCCAGAGCCTCAAATGAGAAAATGTTTTTATTAAATGTAGAAAATGATTCACATTTCACCTTTAAAGGATTGGTTGTATCCATCTCTGTAACCTTTCCCTCACGTTGATGTCACCATGCTGTTGGCTTGTAACAATCTGACTTACGTGCTCCAGACACACTTGCGACTTCGTCTGTGGGGTCTCTGGAGTCACCCGGGGCCAATGTGCACTTGTCCTTCAGAGGCACACGGTGCCAGTGTTGCTTTGCCCTTGGACTCCTCTTTCTTCTGGGCCTCTTTCTTTCTAAGCAGGCTCTGGCTGCTAAAGCCAGTATGTTTTCAAGAGGCTTGCATTTGGGGAGTTTCGTTTTACTCTATTTTTAAAGGGAGGCATAGCGATGATAAGGAGTAGTCATGGAACCCCAGCTATCCCGAATCCTATGGCCCAAAGGAAGCATCAGAGTGTGGGGGTCAGTAGAGTCCTACTGAATGAGTCCATAGAGGGGGGAAGGAGATTGGCCCAGGGACTCCAGGGAGGCTCCTTAGGTTTTTACAGGGTCACGGGGTCTGGAGAGCTTCACAAGACCCCACAGATTCCTTGGCCTGGGTGGCGTGGATGGTGTTGGCTCCCCAAGTAATGGGATGCCTGAGGAGAGGGCTGGGATACCACGGAAGCTCAAGACAAACTCACGGTCACTCCTTGGGAGAGGTGGGACAAAGGTGAGCTCTAACGGGGCATCTCAACATCAGGCACAAGTAGCCCCCAGGAGGACTTGGTGGCTTTGCCAGACCAGGGTTTTCTGAAGGCAGCCACCAGGCCCTTAAGCGTGGCCGTCCAGCACCAGGGAGCCACTGGCCTCCTCCTGCTGCCTCCACGAGGTGACAAGGAGCAAATCCACCCTTGCCTCCCCTCTGTTCCCCTGCCTGGCTCGTCCCCAGCAACCGAGTCAGCCTCCTTCAGACCCGGTGTCAGCCACCTGGCAGTTGCCAGGGTTCCTCCTGGTGTGGGTCCTGCATCACCTGCGCTGGCATCTCCTGTCAACATGCAGATTCCAGGGCACCATCCCAAACCTCTGGGAGGAGGGCCCAGGAATCTGCATCTTGAAGAAGCTCTCCAGAACATTCTGACACACCCTCCAGTAAGGACACTGCTGCCTTACTTAACGTAGTGGGGCTTCGGGTGCGACTCTCCCCAGATGATCACTTCCTGTGACCCAGGCAGCTTGGGGCTGAGCTTTGAGGGAGGGGAGCCCAGGGTCCGCGCTCTTCCCTCCACCCGGCCCTGTGGGTCCCAGAGCCCCAGCCGGAGAGGGGCTGCCTTCAGGGGCGATCGCTTTGGATCATGTGACAAACAAGAGGGCAAAGCAACCCTGAGCTCCCTTCGGATCCCTCCAACGTGCAGTATTATTTCCTGCAAGACCAGCTCCCGCCTCGGAGGCTGCTTCACGTTGCCTTTCCTGGGCCGCACGCAGGATAAATACAAACAGCCATACTCGGTTTTGGCCCAGGATGCGGAAAGCTCCTTGACCCATGTTTTAGGATCCTCAGGCTCTCGCTGACCCTCCTTTCTTAATGGAAAGGACAATCATCTTCCCGGGACAGCCACCAGCCCAGGCTCCCAGGCTCCCACCCTCCCTCCCTCCTTCCTTTTGCCCAATTCACAGCAGCTCCCCACTTACCAAATGACTGGTAAAAGCCTCCGAGCCCCACGCTGGCCATTTGCAGCACAGAGTCCTCGAGGCGCGAGAATGAAGGCATCAGTCCGTCTGCTCCATGCGTCTCTGCATCCTGGGAGCTCGAACAATGCAAACGCACAGGCCTCTGTGGGACCCGACGTCTTCCAGAGCCTTCCTCGGTATTACAGCCCGTGTCCCCGCCACAGCCCCCCGGCCTTTCTGAACCTCCCGTTCCTTGGCCCCTTGTTTCCTACAAGGAAAGGGAAGTGGTTATTTAAAACAAATCAGCCCTCCCTTCCACCCCCAGCCCCCGAGTCATCACAGTTTCTCCTCCAACTTGTTTTCTAGAGCTGCATTTTTAAAAGATATTTTTTAATTAGGAAAAAAAAAAAAAACAACAACCCAAAAAACCCCATGCCACCGTCTTCCCCAACCACCTGTCTGGGATAAGGCGAATCTGGGCAGTGAATGGATTTAAATCTTTTTTTTTTTTTTTTTTTTTTTAAATGACATTTGAGCCCTTCACAGAAGGGCCTTTCTCCAAGCGTGACATTTCTCTCACCGGACATCCTTGTGCCTTTGAGGTGAGACGCAGGGCCCTGCAGAACCCTCTGCTCCCGCTTTTCAGGAGACAAGCAGCTGTCCCCAGCGAGACGGGGGTGATCTCTGCCCTCAGCACCACGACCCACAAGACCCACAAGGGTTTATCGAGCCCCCTTTGGTGGGGGCGGGGGGCTTCCGTGACATCACCCTAATACCACCAACACCTGAGCCGGGCTTCGCGGGGAGTGCCGTCCCGTCCCACCGGCTCGTCCTCTCCTCTTCCCCGGCCGGACGTCGCCTGTTAACCCCCGAGGTTCGGGCTGTGCGCTTGCACGGCGGCTAAGCCTCGCTGCATGTGGCCGGGCCCCAGGAGGGCCTGTTCCTGGGCGCTGCCCTTAGCAAATCCTCGGTCCTGGAGGGCCGGGCGGCGGAGATCAGGGTCCCCGGGTCCTAGGCACGCTCCACGCTCCAGGCTGCCACAGATGGCGAGTCCTGGGGACACGCGTGGACGCCACCTGCGCATGAGGGCGCCCCGGGATGAGGCCAGCAGGCCCTGACCACAAGGAGGGCCACCCCTGAGAAGCCCGGCTCCCCACGCCTCGCCGCGGAGCCCTGCCGCCGCCCAAGCTCGTCCTTGCTCTTCCGCAGCCCTGTCCTTCCCGGAAAGGCCCGGGCATCGGTTTCCCACCGACTGGCCCACGTGAGCCGCCACCCAGACCTCGCTACAGAGGGAGCATCGCGACCTCCTCGCATCTGATGCCCCGGGCTGGCCAAAGGGGACGGCGGCCTCGTGGGCCATCGGGAGCCCCCCAGCACCCCGAGATGGAGAGGAAGCACCGCTCGGGTGCCATCAGCCCTCCTCCCGGGCTGCCCCGAGCACCTGCATGGGCACCTGCACCTTCCGAGGGCGCTTGCGTGGTCTCCTGGTCTCCTCACCCCCCACTCTGGGGCAGGACCTCCCAACCTCAGAGCCTCGGCCTGGAAAGGAAAGGCGTGGACAGCTCCGCGCATTCTGAAGCAACGGAGTGGAGCCACCACCAGCAGAGAGCTCGCTTCTTTCTGTCACAAGGGACCAGGACAGGGCAGCCTTGTTCCCCCGCTGGCTTTCACAACCCACCAGGACGGCCAGGTTCCCGGCTGGTCTCCTGCTGGGGACAGTGGTTAAGACATTTGAAAAGCTAGCTCTCCCCGGGGACGGAAAGATGCTTCCTAAAAGGAGAATGTAGGTGGCTTTCTCCAGCCCACCAAGAAGTCATTTTTGTAATAGAGCAAAAGCGAATGTTCTCGATTAGAAGAGCTTAGTGGCTGTTGGTAGTGTTAAAATAATAATCCTTCTAGTATCCAAAGGTTTCTATTTTTTTTTTCAGGGAAATTTTTACATTGATGATGAATGAAACTAGTTCCATTTTGGAGGTCATTCCTGACCATAACGGCTTTTGTTCTGCTGCTCTGAATCTTGTACGTTCCATCTAATACGTCACTGTGCTGCTGTATCTAGATCGAACCACTGTTGTTGTTTTTTTTTTTTTAAGAGAAATAAATCCTTAATGAAAATAGCGTTGCATTTCTTTCTTCCTGCACGTGGCTGTCGCCCCCAAGATGCCAGCTCCTAACCCTTTACGGGTCAGCCCTGCCCAAAGCCACGTGCCCTCCGACCACGAGGGAGTCCATGGGGGCAAAGGGCTAACCCTGAACCTCAGACCCCGGGAGTCCCATCACAAGGGACTCTCTGGTACCTTCTTACATCTCTCCAGAGACCTCTGCTGCCTGACCAGCCGCCCCGGCAGACAGAAGGCACCATCCTCCTGGGACATACGGTCTGAAAAAGTCCAGCCCCACAGCAGCCACCCTCCCCACCATTTACTGCCTCTGCCCAAACTCTGTCCCCTTCCCGGGCCCATGGGGAGCAGGGGGTGCCCTTCCCTCACCTCCTCCACCGACTCAGCCCCCTGCCCTCCTCTAACCCCAGAAAGCTGTAGATTTAGTACGTGAGGGCACCAAAATGATCTCCAACTCATTCATTTCCAGGCAAGCTTCAAAGCGGGCATCCCCAGGGCACAAAGGAGCTCCAGGCCGCTCTCCCTCTAGGAGGGATGTCCTAGGGTATTGGGATCTTTTTTTTTTAAGATTTTATTTATTTATTCATTCGTGAGAGACCCAGAGAGAGGCAGAGACATAGGCAGAGGGAGAAGCAGGCTCCCTGCAGGGAGCCCAATGCGGGACTCAATCCCGGGACCCCAGAGTCATACCCTGAGCCACCCAGGTGCCCCATAAGGTATTGGGATCTAACTGCTCTTCCTGGAGATGGTGAAGAGGAGGGAAAGTCAGGGCCTCAGGAGCAGACACCCAGACACTCGCAGTGCAACTGGCCAGGACGCCTGGCGCCACTTCATCATCGGCCTTAAGCAGGTGTCGGGCCCTGGCCCCACTGCCTCAGGAGAAGCAGCAGGAAAGAGGCCCAGCCAGTCAGCCAGAGGGTGAGTTCTCCTCCCTACGCAGTCCTGCAGCAGATGTTTGGAGAACTCCTACTCTACCCACAGCACTCAGAAGCACATCAGACAAAGCCCCTGCCCTCCTGGACCTTGTATCTCAGGGGGACGTCGGCCACCCCTGGTTGATGAACCAGAGGGCACAGGGCAGGACTTCTCACACTTCGAGGAGCACAGAGCCACCTGGGCATTCTGATAAGATACGGATTCTGATTCAGTGGATCTGAGCATGGGTCTGCATTCCCAACAGGTTCCCCGGAGAAGCTGCTGGTCCCGGGATTACCCTTTGGGAAGAGAGCCCTAAGCCCTAACATCAAGCCAGGGTCTGTGGTCAAACCAGGACCTCCATTCGCATTGCTGTCCCCTTCGGCACTGCAGGCAC